CGCCGCCGTTGGGGACAAGTGGTCGAATCAGCTTTCGCTTCAAAGGCTCCTGGCAGCGAACTTGCCTGACATGTTTCCAGCGAACTTGTAAGTTAACGAGCGAACAGGATCGGCAGCGTCTCTAGCTAGTTTAACCAACGCTAAGCGGTTAGCGACGACAGAGACGTGGAACGGGAGCGTGATCGGCCGTCCGAAACCATCTGTCTGGGCTCGCTACCAGCATACGCTACTGTAACCAATTGCATGTTTGACTAATTGCAATGCTTCACATTGTAATGGCGGCAATGATTATATTAATTTACGCGGCGGCTTATTAATGGTCGTAATTACAGCTCGGAAATAGCGCGCATTGTGGATAGATTCGGCGAAGTGGGAAAAGCGATGGATAGATGGGAACGTAACGGAACGGACGCAGGCCCTTTTCGCATTACGGTCATCACGACGACAGGATATCTGTGCTACTGTATACGATACGGACAATTGAAACAAGAACGTTTTCCCATATTATTTATATGAAAATAGTAGGAGTGCAAATACTAGCGTACCTAATTAGCAAGTCTAATAAATTGCTTTATTATCCTGGGGATATTTTAGGCCTGTCTAATTTATGGTGCCATTAATATAATTAATAATGTCATGCTAATGAGCTGGGCATGGCCCTATGATGTCTATCAGACGACCACGCTTTTAAATAATATCCGGGCCCTCCTCTTTCTGTTTTATTACGGAGTAGCGTAGAAATCATTTCCCCAATGCGTTGTTAAACATTTTCAAGGTAAACAGCATTTGCGGTGGTGAGCATAAACATACAGCCATCGGTGATGCAGTGTGACTAGCAATTGGTTACCATGGAACATGAGCACCATGGCATTTCTTAAGTTTGTTTGAGAAAGCGTAGCAAATCCGACCAGGCCTTACCGGAAAGCAGGTTTCTGATACTATACCTAAATAAGTGATTCCAACGATTTGGCCAAAGGGCAATGAAAGAACAAACAACATAACTGGCGGAAATAGCATAGACAGCAACGCAGTGTCCAGCATCACCTGACTGATGACTTTGTTTAGACTGTGAAACGTTTCCGGAGTTACTCGAATAACTTTCAACTCTGTTCTACTCAGTGGATGCTGCATTCAGGTAAACTCGGGTTCACTTCCCGGTTCAAGCTGACCCACTTTCCTGCCGCGCTCCGTTGACATCTGTAACCAATTAGGGCCGCCTACAAGTTCGGTTTAGGCCAGTCAATGCAACGCAGTGAAAAGTTGCCGCCTATCTACCTTGTAAGTAACCTCCATTAGGCACTCAACATAGGTATCATGTTCAGGTCATGCAAGGTTCTTCACACCGCAAAGTCCAAACGGAGAGAAAGCAAAACGAGGCGATACATACATACAGAAGATAGTTACATTTCGAAGACGCAAAGCTTCAACAGGCCCATATCTCCATTGTATCTGCGGTGCCTGTTCGCATCTGAATGTCGGCCTGTTTAGCCGCTTTCTTTTTGCCACCCGACTTCGGCCTACCGCTGACTATTGCTCTATTGCGACACAATAAGGGATTCTCGCAGTGTGGCCCTACCTAAGTAGGGTTGACTGACTTGAATGCTCACATATGTCGGAGCCTATTCTCTGCGGATACATGCCCATGGGCATTGGTATTCCTTCCTATTGCTGTTTGCCCTTCTGTGTCTGCCTGCCTGCCTGCCTATCTGTTTCTTTGCTATCCAATGCATTGGGCTTTTTGGCCAAGTATAACGGCTAGGGATGACTTGCTTAACCAGATAGTAGCAGCGAGCAAGCGGTTCGGGTACGCCGTTAAAGCTGTATTTAGTAGAGTGCTTATGGGTAAAAATAACATTTACAAGGAAAATGGCCGACTCACAGCCGGGATAATCGATCGCGTACAGGGATGAATATGAAAAGGTAAAAGCATAACCTGAAGGCGAGTAATCACAGTCGTTGTATGCAGAGAGCCTAAAAAGGTATCGGTGAAATCGAAGGTCTACGGCCTGACCAAGCCGTTGGTGCCAGGATCGGGCCGTTAGCCCTTTCAGAGCTGATTTTCACTAACTGTACCCAATTATTGTAACTTTGAATTCTTAAGCATCTCTACGATGCTCCCAGATGTTGCGGGAATCTACTGCACCAGCTGCTTGCTAAGCAAGTAATACGCAGTCATATTGACCGATATCGTTATTATCAGTGGAAATCAGGGGAAATTCACCCCCCTAAATGTAGCGCCTGTCATCGTTGTGTGCGCTTAACATGTACTTAGAATTCGTGTTGAATTATGTTCCAGCCTTCCCTAGGGCGTATCCTCTTTACGAGTCGTCGGAAATATTCGTTCTTCCGGTGCAGTCATCAATGAAAGTTACGAGCTACCGGAAAGTACTTGGCGCATAGCTCATGTGGTCAGCCACGTTGATGGTTTCCTCTCTGCGCTACCTTCCGCTAGTTTCTAGGCGTTCATTAACCCTTGTGGGTTCAGGTTTGTAGCGCATAGACAGATCGAGCACGCGTCTTTTGCGTGTTCGTAGTCAGCCAATGATGTGCATAGCGCCGGGTACGAGATATCGTGGGCGATCCCTGTTTTAGCCGGTCTTTGTTCTGACTTCCCTTCCATCCTTGATCGTCATCGAGGAGAGTGAGCTGGACATTTCCTTCACGATTACTACTTGCGTTACCACTACTAAACGGTCGCTAGCGTAGTCACCGGCGTTAAACCAACTAATTATCCACTGAATATTATATCATCCTACTTAGGTTCTTGGATACCTGACTCGCAGGACTACGTACTCGACTTGCTAACTTGTCAAAAAGACCTCTTCTCCTTGAGTTTTCTCTGCTCATCAAAATATCGCTTGCCAATCAACATTATCGTTAGCACTATCGTCGATGTACCCGCTATATATATATATATATATATATATATATATATACATACAGGGCGGGGCAGAAAGCTTGCAGTTGACGCGGCAGCATCCGTCTCAATTAAAGATCAATTTTTTTTTTACTAATTAAGAGTCTACTTTAATGCTATTACTTGTAGACCTATGCTATTGCCCGCCATAAGCTAACTTCTGCGCCAGCCTGTGTATATTATAGAATAAGTTAAAATGCGCGTTTTGCCATTCAGTTAGTGGTAAAGATTTTCTATTCGGTTAGTTTTCTGCCAATATCCAACTTTATCAGTGTCCCTTCGTCCTTCCAGGTTTTTCGTAGAGACAGACAGACAGACAGACACAGAGAGAGCGAGAGCGAGAGAGTTAGAGAGAGAGAGAGAGAGACCGAGAGAGAGAGAGAGAGAGGCGCTATTGTGTGCTGCCGTGGAACTCCTGCCTGGCGAGCCGCTTATCTGTCATGGTCTAGCAACGCTACCATCCTGTGCCGCTATTACGAAGGCTTGAAACGACCAATGCTGCTTGCGGCCTCATAGAATGGTAGGGAACAATATTAGGCGAGAAAAGAGATGAGAGAGAGAAAGATTTAGTGAGAGGGGATGAGGGGGGGGGTCCGCAGGGATCTCGGTCGTTTGCGCTCAACTGCATGTCGCTGGTAGAAAAAGCTCAGAGTAATAGTCGCGCTAGCAGCAGTAGTAGTAGTAGAAGAAGCAGCTTGCAGTCGCCTTGTGATTTGCGGACGCTCGGTGAGAACAGTTCGGTCGGGTTAGTGTGCTCTCTGGCAGTGTTTGTCGGGCTAAAGTGAAAAAAACGGGAAGAGACGATGACGAGAATCGAGTTGACTGTTGCGGCTGCCGGCAAACAAGGGGCCCCTGCTCCTCTGAATAAATGTAACCACCGGCAAACAGGAAGTGTTTCCCGTAACGCACGCTGCGTTGCTAACATTGCTACGCGATGTATAGAGAAGGCCGTGTACTCGATGGTAGAGTAGATGATTCGAGAGCGTCAAGCGACCCAGCGAATGAACCAGCTAACGAGAGACCAACAACCCGACGTTGGAGAACACCAGTCCAATCCAACCTAACGTTGTTGTTGTTTTTGTTGACGTTGTCGTAGCTAAAAGAGAGAGAGAGTAACGCGATGCGAAACATGCGGCGACTAAGCCAACTCGACGCGAAACGGATTGCCAATAATCGCGTCATCGACACAGCGTCCCTTTCGTCACCGAATTCGGTTAAGTTGGCGAAACGACACAACGCTAACGCCGTCGCGACGCGTGCTGCCAACAAGGCCTAAATCTGTCAATGGTTTATCTGCTGCTGTCGCTATTTTGCACAGCATATCGCGCAAGCTCGTGGGCGACAGTCAGCGTAAACCTTCACTAGAACTGCGACAAGGCCGGCTTTCGTTGATGTGCTAAAGGACCCAACCGGTTAAACAGACGAGCAAGCACCAGGCATTGCAGGAGTCGGCCAGCGACCTCAGTCGACGCTGTTCGGCCGTTAGTGGTGTCCATCAAAGCAGATTCGAGAAATAATAGTGATACTGATGGTGCCACCACAAGCATGGCACGAATAGCAGCAGTCGGTCGGGCATCGAGAGCGGCAATACTAACTGTTTGGCTCTATTCTATTGTTGTTGTCGGCTTGGCTGTTACAGAGACTGTTGTCAGTTTAGAGGCTAGCCGTTAGTTCGGGACTGATCTATCCACATTGGCTGAATGAGTTCCTGTAGCTAGCATTTGGTGGAGTGTACCGCACGATCTTTTTCATTCGCTGTTATGTCGTAGGCCTGACATCGAGTCGTGCGGAATAGAATAATGTACAAATGCGTATCTCTCGTACTGCTGCTGCTATCAGTGCCACAATGTACACTGTACAGCTCCAGTAAAATCCCTACAGTGACCAGCATCCTTCCCGGGAGCAACGTTCGGGAGTGGTTGGCCCTAACGCTGAATCTCGAACGCCATCAGGTATCACTCGAAGCGGGGGGGGGGGGGGGGGAAGGGGCTACCCTCCAGTGGAAATAGAATCGTATTGCTATCGAGAACGATAAAAACAAAGGAAAGAAACATTGAGAAAGGAACAGCGATCGTTTGCTCACTTTGTACGGATGTAACGTCACATGAATGGTTCTGCCTGTGGCATTAATCTCATCTAGAGTAACGTCCATCGTATGGCACTGATGAGTGAGTGTGATGAACTACTTGACCGCCGGTTATCTTCCTGCACGTCTAATATCGGCCCAGATCAGCCGCAATATGACCCACATGAATGAAGCGTATGAACACTACGTTATCCGTCGGGAAAAAAGAGCTTGACTATTAGAGGCGCGCCTGCTGGCGATGTTGCTTCGTGTTAGGCAGACGAAATTCTAGTAAAGAAAGAAAGGGTTGGTCTGGTTTTTTAGTTGCTATCGCTGAAAAAGTATAGAACGCGCTGGGTAATGATTGGGTTGGGGCTGAGTAGATCTGTTCTTTTGTCCCAGTGATAACCCCGAGTATAACGCCGTGATAGCCATAAGATTCAAATTCATAGACTCATCTGCGATACGTAGAAACGTTTTCAAATACCTTGTTCGGATCGTTTTTAAAGAACAGTTATCAAAATATTGCCATATATTAACAACATGCATCACATTATATTAATGTATAGTTATATAGAAACATTCTTTCGTAAATATAAGTCTAAGCAAACCCTCGGAATATACCTCGTCCGAGTTTTTATACTAAAAACCTGATAATTACATGTATACTTTTATAATATACAGTCGGTTATTCAATACGATCCTGAACGCCATATTCGTATTTTGTCGGCATTCCCGTTTCGTTGATAAATTTATTTCTGGATTTCTTTGATCCAGACGGTCCGTTTAATCGATTCAATGTTAACATTTGTGATTGTTTGAGGACAAACGAAAGCCTTAATGATTGGTGGCTGCTGTCGTAGCCGTTGGTGCTCTTGCCGTTGTCTAAAAGACCGACGCGGTAAAACAAAGTAGATCGCTTTCGTGCGGACAAGTCCCGCGCTTCTTCTTAGTTTTTATCGCCGCTGGTGCCTGTATCTGTTATCGGCGTGTTTTCGTTGGGGCCATTAAAGCGCGAACACGCGGCATCTGGCCACACAAGACGTCAAATGCAGGGTAACGCAGTTGGCATTACACCTTTGATTTGTGTCTATGTCGTGTGCTTACCTAGGTTAGCATAATAGGTTTGCAAAATTGCCTGTCGAGACCATCACCGAACTGCCAAACCATCCAACCGCTGTCGTTGTTTGAGGGCATCTTGAGGGGATAAAGAAAAGATTGCCAGTGACCCAGATTGTGGCTAAAACGGCCGTTTCAACCAGACCCACGCGCGAGATCCACACACAACACCTCCAGCAGCAGTGCTAACCTGAGCAGTACATGTTCACTACGAACACGAGCGAACGAATAGGCTCTATCGAACACGCTTTTTCGTCTAGGTGTTTGTTTTGCCCCGTTTCCGTGCCCGCTCCTAATTGAATTCGTCATATCGTAAGGGGCCGGTCTACGTTAGCGCTTACGCCATTGGGTCATAGGTTGGATGTAGCACTGTAGCTGTGTTAGCGAATAGCGTCTTTTTTTTATGAGTGTTGGCTATGCTTGTGTAATGGATGCCCAACGAATGCGAGTGTTCTGCCAGCCTTTGTCTGCAACCATTTCACAGTACAAGCACACCATAGAGACCATGCGCTACAAAAAAACCTAAAGGTACTTGTGCAAAAATTAGATTACGATTTCATGGAGTTATTGCACGAAACGCAGCTCAACGCGTATGCAGGAGAGGTATGACAGGATCAGAAGGCACCGAAGTAGCCAAAAATATTATGGATTAAACAACAGGAGCATCACCATCTACTATTACATTATTGGAAGGTATTACAGACGGCAACAGAGATAACTTATAGTAGTCGTGTATTGACATCGACACGTTAGATGGCACGGAGCCATTAGCGAAATTTTACGTTTATATAGCTAAAAGAAACAGGCGGGATCAGGACCACGAGGAAGATCTTCAATGAATGATGACCTTCGTGAACAAACGAGCAAGCGAACTTCATCGCGGCATTGAGTCACGGCAGCCACTTCGACCTCGCCGCATCGTAATTTCAAATCGTTTTTCGTTAAAACTAAAAATTCGTTGATGAGCAGGTTGACACCAGTACTACATAGACGGTGTTGATATTAGCCTAAGATAACGTCACTTCTATAAAATTACATGTAACATACGTATATACACGCAGGATCTGAGTCATTATTCAGAATCATACAAGGCAAAACAACGGAAATTAAGCTGTGCAGCGGTCCAAAGTGTAACTTCAGGAGCTATCGTATAGGCAAAATTCTATAAAAAAGATGCAATGGGGCATCGCCTGGCTGCTCGTGATGCTTCCGTCACAGTGAGCTGAAGCTGAAGTTGATACTAATAATAATTGATTCTCAGCTGTACCATTAACGATGAAAATCATAGCTCTCAATGAGCACTCCTACAAGGATTTCTCAGGGTTGAACGAGTTTAGTACAAGTAATTTCAAGAGACCGAATAGAAAAATCAAGTATGTTATGTATCGATTTCACTATCTCACTTTGATTTTTACTAGAAGCCCAAAATGCGCTTACGCCCAGAATCAAACTTTAATTACCCCTATGTGTATCGGGTTGGGCGATGCATACGCTACGTTACCACTACACCACCGCGGAGATAATAGTCTAACTTTGACTATCCATTTCGTTTTTTCTAGTGGTTCCCGATAGCCGAAAATTGAAACCTTATATTTGTCAGAGTTGCCGTACCACATGAACTGTTAACGTCAAACCTCCCTCCTAGCGTACAATAGTCAAAGGCATTGTACCGCAAGAACCACTAGAAATTAAGGTAACTTTGCAAAAAAACTACACCCTTTATTCTTCCTTCCTCAAGGTTCCCGCCAAAATTCAAATTCATTCATACTCAACGCCTACCAGGCGCAATTCACCATTGAAGCCTACAGTGCTTCCACTTCCACAGGTCACTATTCGCCATACGTTTCTAGCGCTCACTTGAATCTTATGATAAAGATTACAGTGGTTCTCTCTCCGGTTTTTTCGTTTTCGAAAAACTTATATATCCTTCCTATGAATTATTACCCCACCGAGCCACTATTCATTTATTTATTTATTTTCTCTCTTGGTATTTCTTTTGATATGGCGGTACCGATGCATTTTGTCGCAAATCTCTGTCTTCGCCGGGACTCGCGCCTTCACGTTTTCTCTCGACGCTTACGCTTCTTTTATCGCGTAACATTAATGGCCTTTAACCAATACGCGACGCGTTCCACATGGCTCACGTAGAGTTCGTTAAAACTCTTCGCTGGCGTACGGACGGATCACTGTAGCAGGATTTCTTTGTAACCATTATCAGTTCACTATCAATACATATATACGTGGTTAAGGGAAAAGCTCGGCATTCGACGTATCGTGGTATGCCAACTTCGAACTAAAGTCAGCCGAAAATTTCGTCTACTAAATCTAAAGCTAAGCTTACTATATATAAAGTTCTATCGCTTTTTTCTTTCTTTCTTTCTTTTTATTTGTTACTCTCCCGTAAGCGACTGCAACTCGCCGCAGTTTGCTAGAAATACAGCTCTAAATCTTCCTTTGACTCCTCGGCTGGTGACGTTCTGGTGTGCAAGTGCCATACGAAGGAAGATACGGAAATGATGCGAAGACTGCTTAATTCAGATAAACGCACTTATGATGACGGAACCAATGCTAGCTCTGAAGAAAGCTTAGAGCCCAAGAGATATTGGCTAAGCTAAGGATGAGCCAAATAATATTAATCATATTACTAAACCACATATAATATTATTGAACTAGCTATACGCCATTTCAGTTGGTAACTTTCTGCCATTTTCTTAGCTGCCGTAGGACTTGTGTGGCTTCTGGGCAAGAAATTGTGATAAATTATATGCGCATCTGACTGAATTAACACCGTTGAAAACGTTCGGCAGAGACTCATAATCCCGCTGACACGGTTAACACATCGAAATTGCCCGATCTTTTTTCCCCAAACTTTTCTCAGTTCTCGCCATAGCGACAAAACGCTTGTGGTCCGGCAGTGTCATAGTAGAAGACGACCCCTTCTCTATTCAGTGATTGCTACCGAATTTTCCAGTGATCTCGTTAGCTGTTGACAGTAGTAGAGATCTTCGTCAACCATTTTGCTAGCGGAAGTAACTAAAAAACGATGATTATTTTCCAACTCCATCAAATACACAATATCGCCATCTTCGGTATCAATCTGGGCTTTGGCACTGATTAGTGAGCCCACGCTTTTTCATCTGCGTTACGTTATCGTGTCGTATGTGATCCACTTCTAGTTACCTGTAGTAAACCGCCTCAGACATGGTTGGACTTTGCTGCTTTTCTGTGAAGTTTGGCAGGCAGAAACACGATTAAGTAAGTTCTTCTGTGTCAGTTTAAGCGACAGCTTTCTTAGAAGATTTTAAAACTGTTTGACGGTGCGTGCTGAGTCCCTTCAATCAACTTTCCCGTAAAGGCCATTACGAAGAGCATTCTTCATATGTAAATTTTCAAGCCGACAGAATCATCTTTCGGCCATTCGTTCCGCTAATGTATCGAGGCCATAGACAACACATATGGGTAAAATAAAAGTGGAAAACAAGATTTTACAGAAATTTCGCTCATCTGCAAGTCACTCTATCCTAAATCGAAACAAAGATGTTTCAGCGACTCGAGCACACCTCCTATTGCCTCAGTTTCAATGACATCAACACCAATCCTACGCGATTGGCATTACCTGAGACCTATCTATATGAGCTTGTAATGTAACCCTAAAGTCATCTAGGTGGAAAAATGGCCACCATTATTTCGATGATACAATTGTTCGACTTGAACGACTGCAGAAATTTTCCAGTGGTTCTCTTTATGTCAGGCAATAGAACACTAGGGAGTTAGTTAGATGGTCTGAGTCTGCCAACGCGTGCGACGCGTTGATATGGACAACGTATGAGAACCGGATTAAATCAGAATACACATGTAGGCAGCGATTGTGCTACTCATTTGTTACCTTTTAGAGGGTCGATCCTAGGATTTCATCGGTATGGTATTTCCTATTGGATGCAGCGTTCATCGGTGTCCAGACGTTCTTCAACAGACTTGGTTTTCTTTATTGAAACGCTGATGTAGTGGCGATAACAAGCGTATCTCGATTTTTTTTTTAATCTTTG